GAATAAGAGAACAATGATAAAACAGCCTGGATAAGGAAAGTACAAAGCCATCTATATTTTGTTTTCGTAGTGGGAGAAAACCCATCTTTCATATTTTGTGTTCGTAGTGGGAGAAAACCCAGTTCTTGTTGACCGCATCCATAACATGTAACATTTTGTCGTTCAAAATAGTGATTATTATTAGCGGACGATGATGATACATTCGTGGCTGGTTTTGGTAACCTAGGTCGACCTAATTCGACGCGCGATTCGAAGAAATTCTTTGGGTGTTGTTGGATTTTGATCCAAAAGTTTTTCACGAAATGATGGTTTAACACCTTGTTTTAAATATTTAACTGTTGATTCATCACTCATATTTGGGTCAGCTTGTTGACATAATCCTAAAACATGATTATAATAATCTATGATTGTTTCACTGTGACTTTGTTGGCATGGTAATCTTTGAAATGCCATCTCGTCTCTGATTAATGATGAAAACGTTGTTTTCAATTCATGTATTAATGACACAGAATCTGAACATTCGTCTTGATGATTATTGTACCATTCCCTTGCGGCACCTGTTAATTTTCTAACAATTTGCTGATGCTTCGTATCATCGGTAATGTTCATTTTTGTTAACATTTTGTGCATATCGGTCAACCACTTGTCAATATTTTGGGATGGTTCACCTGTAAATGAAGGGAAATCATCAATAATTTTGATTAATGTTTTTAGTCGTAGTTCTTGTTCAAATTTTGACAATATTAATGTTGGATGTTATCATTTCATTTGTCAATATTGGTGTTGCTTCGAATGTATCTCGTGTTACTGGTAGTGGCATGAGTGTATCAATAAATTCGTTAATGAATGCATGTATATCAGGAATTCGTAAACGATGTCGACGATACCATGCTTGTGCTTTGCCAGCTAGTCGTTCTGCCACAAAATCTCGTCGTTGTTGTGGATTCATAGTAGTATTCTCAATAACAGCTAATACAGAATCAAGCCATGAACCTGGATCATCACTCAGTGATCCTGA